GACCGTACCCTTTTATGTAATGATGTTTACTTTGAATTTATATTAGTTCACACAAACACTCCATCCATGCTTTTGTTCCGGCCCTCCGGTCCAGTTTAAGAACCCATTGTGGCCCTCGAGTCAAAAAGTTTGCCCACCCCTGGTGTAGTCCCATGTACCGAGAGGTTGCTGGTTCAATCCCCAGTCAGGACACATGCCTGCATTTTGGGCTTGAGCCCCCAGTATTGGGTGTACAGGAGGCAGTGATCAGTGTTTTGCTCTCACATTGATATTTCTCTCTCTCTCTCTAAAAATCGATTAGAAAAAATAATTTTAAATAAATACAGGAAGTTTTTTAATGTAGGAGTGTTTAGGGCTTTGTTTATCCAGACATCTTGCAGGCATCCACTGTGGAGGTTGAGAAGATGGCTAGAAACAGTCTTCCCTGCCTGCCAAATGCACAGTTGGGGCTCTGGCTCACCATTCAATCATTTAGGAAAAGAGTTCAAAGCTTGTCTTCTCTCTCCCATCACCAGGTCTGTGTGGTTCTGTATGTTTTTGTTTACCCGCCCACTTCTTGTGTATCAGTCCCTACCTGGTATGGAGAATCTGGTAACAGTGGAGGTACCAAAGGAGCAAAGGAAAGACAATGAGTACTGATGGCCTCTTGTGAAGCTCAGTCAGGATGTCAATCTAGATCCAACACAAGTAATTAGAGTCTACGCTGACCTCATGTGGCACTGAGGAAGGTTTTAGGGAGGATTCATTTTTAGGGAGTTACAAAGCTTTTCCTGGGAAGACCAAATTTATTTCCAAATCACCTAATCTCCACATTCTTCTTAAAGGATGCTCCTTAGAACAGCAGGGCTTTGCTTCTATCTCCCTGTGCCTTTCTGATGACCGTTCACCTCAGTCTCTTACCTGTAAACTATGAAGATTATATTTGTCGTGATGCTAAAGAAAGCTTTACTGATGTCTCCAATAACTGTTATGAGACCACCAGCTCATCTTACACGCCCTGTGAATTCCCAGCAGGAGTGATATCAGCCCCAAGGGGCCAAAAATGGATGCTTGTCAGGAGGAATGAGTTTACAAAATTTTAGATATTACAGTGGCTCATAAAATCTTACCCCATAGTGTTTAATCTCTTTTTAAGGACAATCTTAATTTAATTTTTCTTAGTGAAATGGTCATGACACAAAGGTTGACAAGCACCATCCTTGCTTGATGGGTCTGTTACTGAGCCATATTCACACTAAGAGGAAAATGTGATCTAGTTCTCACATTGTGATGGATGAAAATGAAGAAATAGCTGATGTCCTTCTATAAGATACTAGAGGCCCAATGCACAAAAATTCGTGCAAGAGTAGGCCTTCCTTTCCCCAGCTGCTGGCACCGGCTTCCCTCGGGCACCCGGAACCCGGGCTTCCCTCCTCTGGCTGTAGGCGGGCACCCGGGACCCAGGCTGCTTCCCTTCTTCGGCCACCCGCAGGCACCCAGAACCCTGGCTGGCTTCCCTCTGGCCCTGGCTTCATCAGGAAGGATGTCTGGTCTAATTAGCATATTACCCTTTTATTATTATAGATAAGATGTACTTAGTGCTGTAATTTCATATCAAGCGCATGGGTTGAACCTGGCTTTTAGTATTTGTATTAGATCTTTGAGAAATCCTTGGTTCTTCTATGTAACATTTCCATGAATTCTAAAAAAGTCCTTAAACGAATGTTCCCTCTATGGCAGAGCATACCTTTTGCTTAAAACCTGAGGCTCCCCCTACCTAACAGTTCTGGAAGGGCAGGGACCAGGCTGAGTGCTTTACTCCTTATGCTACCAATGCCTAACTCACTGTTTGGTTGCTGTGCAACATGACTGTATTATTAAAAATAGTGGGGTAGCCCTGGCCAGTGTTGTTTAGTGGTTAGAGTGTGGGCCTGCACACCAAAGGGTTGCAGGTTTGATTCCTGGTCAAGGGCACATACCTGGGTTGAGGGTTCACTCCCAGTTCCTTGGTTGGAGTGTGTGCAGGAGGCAACCAGTCAATGTGTCTCCTCTCTCACATCAATGTTTCTCTCTCTCCTCTCCCCTTCTTCCCTTCTTCCTTTCCCTGTGTCCTCTTATCCCTTCCCCTTCCTTTCTTCTACTCTCTCTGAAAAGCAATGGAAAAAATATCCTCAGGTGAGGATTTTTAAAAAGTAAAAGTATTGAGTAATGAAAGAACTGTAGCTTTAACTAGAGCTGGGACAAGGGTGAGGCAAGTGAGGTGTCTAGGGGTCTAGGGAATAAAATTTAAGGAGAACTTGCCCAACCCTTATGTTTCAGGCCAAACGCTCCCCTAGTCCAGTTTTCAAACCCTTCCCTTTCCAAAGTTGATTTAGGCGATTCTCTGGAAGTGATATGGTCATAGGAGCACAGGAACAGGGAATTTAAAACAACTATTTCAACACCCCTCCATTCCACTTGTATAAGTACATTTCTTTCTACTTGCACATGATTCACGGTGGCCCCAGATCCCTAAAAATGTGCACTTCTGTCTTCTAGATCACTACGGACCTGAGGCAGCGGTGCACGGACAACCACACGGGGACATCTGCCTCGGCTCCCATGGCTGCGGGCATCATTGCACTGGCCCTGGAAGCCAAGTAAGCCTTTATCTCTGTTTGTTTCCACTGGCGACAACCCCGCATCTCACGGACAGTCTACCCGCTCCCTAGTATAGAGCCCCTCGCACAACCCAGAATATAATCTTCCCAATCCCAACCTGAAAACTTCAAAGATTAGGGCTTTAAAAAAATTTTTTTTCTCCTATATTAAGGAAAAAGGCACTTTTTTTTATTTTTGAGTTTTTATATTCCCTAAAAAATCAAACTGTGTCATTACTGTATCAGGGAGTCATGTGCAAGCGTGCCAGTTGGCTCCAACTCCCTTGCCTTGTCGAGGTTTTCATTCTAGTCTGGGAATGTTCCTGTGAGTCTCGGAGTAGGCAGGCCTGCCCACTTCTGGGCCCCTTCCCTGCAGAACAGCAAGGCAGCTCAGAGTCCTTGACGACAGTACCATCACAGACTCATGCTCAGGGACAGAATATTTTAAGGTTACGGGACAGGAGCCCAGGAACAAGGACAAGCCACTTACCTTAAATCCTGTTTAATGTAGTTAAATTCTGTGACTAAAGAGCCCTTAGAAAGGTCCCCTGAGGTTATTTGCAATGCAGCCCATCTCTTCTTTCTCTAAGCACCAATACATCAATTTGTCTGAACTCTGAAAACCCAGTACAAATCTATACTCTCTTACTCTCCATTTTAAAATCCAAATGCCCAGAAAACTGAAGGGTTTTTTTTTGTTTGTTTGTTTTTTTGCAAAATTAACACCAAAACTCATTTAATTGCAAAGTTTGCCCTGATTTGATTTGAGACTATTGGCAGTCCTTATTTATTGTGAAAAATGCCTATATTTCACTACAGAAATATTAATGTGTTTGATTATGAGGTGCTGGCTTAGACTCCATTGGAGGTTTGTATAATATATGCAAGAGATAAGCTATCTGGGAAAAAAAGTTTGAATTTTAAATACATTTGGTGCAAGGTCTTTAGAAAAGGGGTTGTGGGCCTGTACTCAGAGGCCCTCCTGACAAGAGAATCATAACAACAAGGAATTGAAGTAATGATATGAGTGGTTTTCCCAAAATGGCCTTGCTTGCCTGTCTTAAGGAGAATGGAAGGATTCTTTCACCTAGTGTACCCTGATGTAGAACAATAGCAGGTGACAGGAAAAGAATACAAGAATCATAACATACTCAGGTATTATAGCAAAAAGGCACTTTTTATTCTTAACACAGAGGTGGCCTCACAACATTTCCTGCTGCCCCTTTGTAAGGCAAGGGCCTGTGGCAAGGAAGTTGGGCCTTTAATGTAATGCAGATGCAGTAAATGGCTAAGTCAGGTAACTCCTTGGATTGAAACAGGTATACCAACACAGGCTGTGGCTATGGTGATCTTATCTTAGTCCATTTGAGCTGCTATAACCAAATACCATAAACCGAGTAGCTTATAAACCACATTTATTTCTCACAGTTTTGGAGGCTGGGAAGTTTAACATCAAGATGCCAGAGGGTGTCTGGTGAGAACCCACTTTCTAGATGAGCTCTCTGGGTTCTCGCTTGTCAAGGCTCTAATCCCATTCATGAGGGCCCCCACCCTTATGGCCTGATTACCTCCCAAGGCCACACCTCCTAGGGTCATCACATTGGATATTAATTTTCAACATATGAATTGGTGGGGAGGGGAGAGGCACAGATATTGAGACCATAGCAGGTGTGGTATCCTTTGACTCCCATGAATGTTTGTATTTCTTTCTTTTTGATGAGGTTAAATATTAAATCATTTCAATATACCATATCTTTTAAAGTGTTAAAAGTTTGGTTTTAGCAAGGAACTGGCACTAATCCTATGAAATTCTCATTTTACAACTTTTCCCTGGACTGTTCTCACAGCAGACGTCTCGATGAAGTATCTGTGTTTTTAATTTGGTGGCTGTAAACTGGAGTTTTGAAAAATATATCATCTTCATTCTGGAATTCTAGATTGTTTCTCTGGAATATTTTTCTGTCCACAAAATATTGAAGGGGGGAAAAAAATCAGGAATTCTCCCTGCATTTCCCTTTTCCCTCAAAAAAGAATATAATCTCAAACTTGGCAACCCAGTACCATAACTGTGGCTGAATGGTACTCCTTGAGCTGCTGCTACAGTACTTATATTTTTAGTGATTATTTTAACCACTCTTTCAGTTCTGATGAGAAGTCCTTACTCTATTCTTCAAACAGTCTACAGTTGGATCAGGCCCTTTGGGGGCTGAGAACACACTGAGAGGCCGCGTCTGTTTTCTTTCCCTTGCATTTTGAGCATTTTTAAAGATTGATTTTTTCCAAAACTGTGATGGGTGGAAGAAAGGTCCCAAGATACAGTTTACCTGGAAAATCCACTGTATTTTAAGATTTTTTAAATAGCCTAGTTCGATTGTGGGGCCAAAGTACAGGGTAAATCATCTGATAAAATGAGAAACAATAAACCTTTCCTTGCAACGCCATTGTTTTGTGCTACAGGCCAGTCTTTGCCTGTAAGTGAAGCTGTACGTTAGGGGAAAGCAGTCAAAGAACTAAGAATGGGTCAGGCGTTGATGTTAACCGAGGATCATTGAGCAGTGGGCCTCCAGCGTGAGTAAAAAGGATCTTAAACTAGGAAACTGTAGTGAGGCTCTCAAATAGCAGAGTACGAAGATTATTGTTGTTCTAAGCCTAACCCTGGCAAAGAAGCCTTACCCATTCAGCCAGCCCCGGCCCCTGGCAGTCTCCTCTTACAAGAGGCTAGTACTTCTCAACACTTAACCCTGGTATTTTGAGCTTCAGCCTTTACTCTCACAAGTTACATCTACAAGGTACTCCCTTGTAAGGAGAGAAGAGAGGAATCTATGGCTCAGGACACTGCCAACACTGCCGATAGGTGCCCTGCTCAGGTCACAGGAGTCAGTGAGTGAGGGTGAGTGTTCAGGTAAGGAGCTGCACGCAGGGGCTGCCAGACCCTAGTGAACGTATGTCCCAGCTGTCTCTGCACAAGGCCGAATGCACCATTAACCTAATCTCACTGGGGTACAGTATTTACTCGGGGGAGACTCCCAATCCTCGCCTCCTCCCCAGGTGCTTGCCTACACCAGCCGATTGATTTGCCTGGATCATAAGATGGTGGATTCTACCTGGGATACATGGCAACCACTGACCTCTCTACCACTCTTTAAAAAAAAAAAAAGTTTATTGATATTTAGAGAGAGAGAAAGGAAGAGGGAGAGAGAGAGAGAGAGAGAGAGAAGCATCGATGTGAGAGTGAAATATCAATCAGCAGCCTCCTGCACACCCCCTACTGGGGATCGAGCCTGCAACCCAGGCGTGTGCCCTGTCTAGATGAAGCCCAACCAACTGAGCCATCCCGGCCAGAGCCTCTCTACCATTCTAATTCTTCTAGCTCCCCTAAGGTCAGAGCTCTTCCAAAAAACCTTCTTAGGAAACTAGGAGAAAAGAAAACAAATACAAAACATAGAAACAGATAAGCTTGAAGTATCCAGATCTCTTATCTGAGCCCAACAAAAGTCGAGCCATGAATTACCTCTGCTGTGACAGCTCCTAGGACTCCCAGGCCATCCTTTTCCTACGGGGTATGTAAGGACATGTGTTGCAACAACCTCCACTGTTACACCCCCCGCCCCAGATACTTGGGTAAAAGTGTGCTGCTCCCAAGACAGGAAGCTCGACAGCCGCCTGACAGTCTAAGCATGAACTTTGCCGCAGTTAGTCATTTAGGCAATTTCTTCCTGCTCCCAAAGCTATTTTCCGGGTGCATAGAGCTCTGAATCCTTTACCCTTCTCAAAATCATGAGCAGTTTCAAATAAGAAAAAATACTGTTATCTCCAAGGGGGGAAAACTTTTTTTGTGTTGGGGTACCCTCGCCACATATGTATTGGTTCAGAAGTTTATAATATTTCAATTATTTGGATTTTGTGGACTTCAGGGTTGTTTTCTGGTTTTTTAGCTGAATGAATAGGGAGTATGTAATCTGTGATTATGAGGGAACTAATTACCATTTGGTAATATCTTTTTTAGTCACATAATTCAAAAAGTTCAAATAAAATGAGTGTCTGGGTGCAGTTTTTTTTAAATGAAGGAAGTGGTGTAACATGACTAATAGTTTTAGAGGAGCAACCTAGAAGAATGTCAAGTCCCATTTGGAAGTCGCCTTATGTCTCGAGGCCAGTATATATCACCGGTACTCTAGACCTGTGGAAAGAAATAAAATGTTGCTAGCAAATGATGTTTCATATAAAATGGTTTGTTAAGAAGAGTTGAAATAACTGATATGCAAAAATGTTCAGAATCATAAACTATGTTTTACCCAAAGTTTTCCTGATCTGAACCTACAACTATTAGCAAAGAAAAGCTATTTTAGTAGAGTATTTTATATGTTAAATTATCAGCATTCGCTTGGGAAATTCAAAATAAAAGTTCACCAAAGAAACTTTTTGGCCTAGAATTGCCAGTAGTCTCTCATTGGAAAAGTGAAATATTAGCAAACATGAAATATTGCATAGTGAATGGTAAATAAAAGGGGTGAGTTGGGTAGAAACTTCTGAAGTTATTTGGGACTTAGAAAGAAGGACTTGATATAAAGAATCTTCCACAAATACTTGTTTTTAAGTGACTCAAAAACCTTTTCCTCAAATTTTGTATCTCAGCGGACACAGGGATACCTTCCCTTGAAAATGCCTAATATATCTTGATGTAAATTTAGGAAATATACAGATTGGGGTGGCAGCTGTTACTCTGTACTGGAAACATACCTGGTACCTGTTAAAGATTAGTTGCCTCTGTTGTTATGTTGTATGTACATACATGTGCTATTTCTGGGTAGGTTTATCTACTTTCTTCTTATTACCTATCTACTTTCTCCTATTTCAGTAGTCCTGTTACGACTGGTTTATAGAACATACCCATAAAGTTATATGTAGAACATAGATGATAGAAAATATAGAGAGTGAATATACTTCTGATAATTTAGAAAATTTCTATAACTGTACTATCGATGTTTTTTATGGATTAT